CTAATCATTTATGTACCTCAGTTAATTTTGCGCACCCAGAAAATTTTTGCTGTAGTTGCAAAACCACTTTTTTGAGTGATAACAAGTCGCCGTTCCGATTTATCGAGATCGCACTGTAAATCATCAAGAAGATAAAAATAGCGAGTTGGTTTTTCTTTTCCGAATATCATCCGTAATGACCCATATTCCGCGATATTCGGAGCGCCGGAAGTTTATTGACCATCGTACGAAAATGGACGATGCATTTCGATTTAATGCAGCGTACGAGATGCAAGCGAATTTACACGTGGATGAAAATCCGAAAATAAAATCTGCTACCGTTTGTATGGCATCGACGCGTACGGCTATTCCGTAATTTAGCGATGGTGATTACGCGCGAGTAGATATTTCCGTATCGACGTCATATTTCTTTATTTTTCGACTGGATAAGGATCGCTATAAGCGTTTTCCTTCGTCCTTGCAAGCCGTGAATACGGAAGACCCTTGGCGATGGAAAAACTTGGAAGAGACTTGTCTCCCTCTACTTGTCAGTCTTTTCTCCTCCTCGCTGGGAGTTTCACGTGGATAGTAGTAGTTGTCGAGCTTTGCTCCAGCATTGCGTGTACCTGAGCTACCTGACCTAGTCGTCAATGACGTACAATGGACCTGCTGCCTCTCGGTCAAGTTGAAAAACACAATTCTCTCGGCTTGCGTCGTCGAGCTTTGCACAATACATAGGTCTCTCTATACGGTTCGAGACGTCAGCGATGCTTTCCCGAATTTCCCGTGCGCCGTTTCGCACAAAGGAGATTCGGAAAAATCCAATCTTTAATAACGAGTTATTGTGCAACCTGGACCGAGATCAGCTGGACCTAGTTCAGCTGCGCAAAGTCGCGTGAGAGAATCTTTCGATTAAGATTTATAGATCCCGTTTCATCTTTGTGAGCATTGTCCCTTGCAACCATCGGCCAAGTATTTACAATTTGCGATCGTGTGTGTGTGTGTGTGTGTGTGTAAATCTGCATTAATTAAATATATAAAAAATTCCATTGAATTTAATAATTATTGTGAAATATTCTTGAGACAAGCGCGTAACTCCGCCTTCTCAATTTTACAATCACATGCTTCATAGACTCTGATTGATCTTCGCGATAACGAAATTATCTCAAAGTGCAGCTA